CCATTGTCCGCGAGGATATTAGGTCAGTGTTTTATCCCCTTGATACTTACCCCAAAGTGGACGAATTTCTGAAGGACGTTGAGAATGACATTCCAGAAACCCTAAAGGTGCTTGTAGGGTCAATTGTAAACACCAAAAAGGGAAAAACAACTTCCGCTCGGCCTAAACAAAAAACGAAAACCTGTGCTATTGCTCACGCAATAATTAATGCTGCGAGACCGCGGTCCTTCCTGTCGCCTAAGTCTCTAGCTTCTATTGTATTATTGTTGACAACAACTGATAATTCACTTGGATAATTATCTATGGCAATTATAAGCCCCTCTTTTAGAGGAAATGTATAATCAACTGAATTATTATTTAATTCATATTGCCATGGTGTTGGGAGTCGCTTAGTCACATTTGATATAGTTTCACTAATGGTTATAACACTTTCACTGTATAGCTGGAATATATTCACAAGTTGTTGATCAACAGAGTAGTTTCGCTGGGATTGATCTACTCGTTGTGGTTGCAACATATGTCTGCCAAATTTATCTATAGGCATGATACCTGTACTAGAGAAACTAAATGAATAAACACAAAATCTGATGTGTACAAGTATTTATTTGATTATTTTCGCTTCTCTAAGCTCTTCAATTACAGATATTATCTCATTGTCATGACCAGTATGACCTGCATATTGTTCCGCTATAAGTAATTTCAATCTCTCGACCAATTCATTGTAGTCATCATAATATTTGTATCGTTATTGTCATCGTCGCCATTCCTTTTTCACTTACAGATTGAGATCTAGTGTGAGTATCCGACGTTTTTCGAAGAGTTTTTTTTACAACTTGTTTAGCCAAAGAATGAAGTGACATTACTCTAGGCTTGATTATAGTGGTAAATTTTTTCTGCGCTTGATGTTGATAGACCATTCTAAGGATTATACTGCAAATAAATGGCATAAGTGTTTTCAACAATGTCAATGTAGTTATCGACATCTTTGGGTTTGTATCCGAGTGGATGTTTTTTTGAACATTATGTTGCGAGCGGTCAGGCTGGGAAAGGGGTGGTCGTAAGTTGTAGAGCAAAACACTGGATACTTATCGGCTAGATTTAATCATTGGTGATTTCATTGGCGGAATTAGTACATTGGTTGAGTTGACAAAAGGTAAAATTTAGAATGAATATCTAACTGCAACTGCCTGCGCGTGGCTTCGTAAAGTTTATTTAAAGAACATTCAAGTCACGTGACAGTCATAGTGCATCACGCCATCAATAGACAAAAAGAGAAATATATAAAATAAAGATAGAAACAAATAGCAACATGGTTTCCTACAACGGGTCGTTGTTACATTAAAACTGTAAAATAAGCAAATGTTGCAATAGTGTAGACAATGTTAAGTAGAACAACTGAGTTATAATATTATAATATTCATATACAAGGCGAATATAATATAATGGGTGGAACACCATAGCATTTCACAACACCTTCCCCCTTAAAAAAGAAAATTGTAACTTCCAAGAAGTTGCAATTTTATTTCACTTGACATGTTTTTTCTTTTTATTTTCAGAAATTTGCAATTCAATAGATTCGGCTTGATTTTCTGGGGTAGCATTACTCTTATTGCTAAAAATCAATTCTGAATACTTATGTTCATAGAAATAATACAATAAAAGAAATAAAAACACTGTACATAATACAATATACATAGTAATATGGTGAACTGAAATTGAATAAAAGGAATTATCATCTGATAAACGAGTTTTGGATATGTCCTCCCTTAGTTTTCTATTTTTTCGACTATATTTATCAAGGTTCAGAATCTGGTCTGTATGTATAAGAGATTTTGAAATAGGCAATATTTCAGTCAAATTAGTTTCACTTATTTCACTGAAAATCGTAGTTTTTATCGGAGTGTAAATTATAATTTCTGGAGCACTCATGGTGCTTGAGAATATTTGTTCTGAGTGCAAAATAATCGATTCAGTGTAAGCAATTGAACCAGGTTTAAGTTTCAGAATCCCAATTGATTCAATATTTACTGATATTTTTGATTTCTTGAAATTGATATGTAATATATCTGGTTTCGGACAAATGAACAACCAAGTGTTGCTCGTAGCAAGTTGAATAAAAATAGAATTGTTAATATTAATAACTCGTTGATCACATGAATCAGGAATGGATTTAGGCATATAAAATAACATTGCTTCACAATTTGACATGTCATTCATAACATAAATTGGAAATTATTGTCTACAAATGAACCGTGATTGAAAATTAAAACACTTTTCAATAGTATTTCCATCAATTAGAAAATAATTATGCTCAAGTTGATCTATACTAATAAATGGTTTCTCTGGTAAGAGAAAAGTATATGAGTTTTTCATAACTCTCATAGGTATAACAGATATTTTATACAATTCAAAGGTTTGAGTTGTAATGAGGGGAATTCTCAGAATAAAATTCAATTTGTCTTTATAAAAATAAATAGTAACATCGATAAATTTGTGAAAAACATCGATATTTTTCCTATCTAACGGAACAGGAAATGTTTCATCTATCTTCAAGTGTCATTGAATTTTTTCTAGTTCAGCAGAAAGTTTAAGAGGTGTAATAATCAAAGGATGTAATTGACCTCGTTCGGCATATAAGATAATATCTAGGAAATTATTGATTTCCAATGTATTGTCGTGTATGTATTTATGACGACCTTTCCAAAATATTATACCCCCCTTGAGGGTACTAATTCCATAGACTTAATTTACTCACTCGCTTGGCTTTGAGAGGGTTGTTGTTGAATTGTGGAACACAAAGAAATGAAGAGAGTATTTAAGAACATAAAAGAAACATGTTTATTCAATAAAACAATTAAAAGTGTACTCACAATTCGGATACTAGGGGAACCATCTTCAATGGGCTCAGAGAACCTTTCCTGCTCTACGCCCGAAGTAGACTGACTTCCTATTTTTCATATTCAAACTACTCCAACCAATATTTCCCCCTCTGATGGTATATTAATTCATATATCTCAGCAGTTTTAGAATCAATGTATTTTACGTTCAATCTGAGTTCATACAGGTTATGGAAATATTAGTTGTAATAGGAAACTTTAGTTCCTGTCTAGGTATGCCTGTCATGCAATACATTGGATTTGAAATGAATGTTATTTTATAAAAATAATTATTTTCGATATACTACATGACATTTCTCTCCGGCCCATCGAAGCTGGACCCCAGCAAAAAAATAAGGAAAAACACTGAAATCTTAATAAAAAAACATATGTCAACATGTGTCTCATTAAACCAGTGATTGTCCTGAAGAACAACGTGTTGAAACTGAGTTTTAAAGGTTTACATGATATGGATATAAATCTTAGTAATAACATCAATCATTTGATAGAAGTGTATCTTTGCCAAACAAAATATCTAGCAAAATAATGAGTAAAACACTGAAATCACAATAACAAAATTAATATATGGTAGTCAATATTGAAAAAAAATAAGAACAAAATCGGAATAAGAAAAAAAACAAAAATGTGTAAAAAAATCAAGTCTGACCACAAATTCAATAGTTCACTCGCACCCACTGAATCATAATGCACTCTATGATTGAGTCCGGACCTGCTCATTCCACGGTTGTTGTCGGTTATCCTTGTCTCTCCCATCTATCCTATCGACCATCCATCCTAGCGTCTAGAAATCAGCAACTATAAGCAGATTATTCAATGCTCTGCTTTTTTGCAAGACCAGGAGTTTCTGCTTACTCGACATATATGATTCTATACCGTAAACCCATATCAGAATGATTCATGTTTTCCAGCAATTCGTTGTCGTTGAGTTAGGTCAAGAACTTGACCTAGTTCCTAACTTGCCTATGGAAGCTGTGCTTCTGCTGCTCTGTCATCTTCATTCGAGAATATTGGCGGATCCTTGGGTTAGTTTTGTTGAACCTATCTATCTCGTAGTATCTGTCGTACAATAGGTAGGTATAGTACTCGGCATTAATTTTCCGAATATATCTCCATGCAGTAATCAGTCATTAACGAATTTGTCAAGAGCTGCTCGATCCACCCTTATTCGTACTAATGACTTGATTAATATTTACTAAATCCACCCTTCTTCGTACTGACGAATTCATCAAGAGTCACTAAATTCGCTCTGATTCGTAATAGGTGTATTTGTAATTAGTTGATGCGACTTCGATGACTAGGATCGTTTGGTTTCTCAGGACAATTCTCTGTCTCATGGAGTGTGATCTAGGAATCCGACTCGCCATGGTGTGATGAGGTTCTATACTGGATGCCGATGGTGTGGTGCGGTTTGTGTGATGTGGCCCATATACATGAAAAAAAAACATAATACGCAGTAAATGCTAATTGGAATAGGTTCTCAACTTAGATACAAAACAAATTGACATAATAAATCCTTACATAAAAAAAAATTATCGAACATTGATTATTGACATCTATACTGTCAATAGGAGGTATTGAACATATTTTCAATAATTCATTAGGTATATTTCTAAATCTGGGTTTAACATTAAAAATAAACATTCTAACTCATTCGTGTATGTTTATACATACAAAATAGGTTATGTGCAAGCAATTGCCATTTAAAATATTGAACAATCTGGCCATTATTGATTTTACCTTACAATTCATTTTATTTTCCACATTCGGAAAATGTATTACCATCTTTCTCATATCATTAATTGCATATAATTATCGTTTGTCATAATTTCATAAATCTTATTTTTTCTAGATAGGGCCCTATCAATACTCAGTTGTACCTGAATTTTCAATCGTAAATCGACATATTTCACAAGTACCTATATTCATCATACTTTTCTCCTTCTATATTATATACTCATTGTGGTTTACTAACTTACTTACTGCTAAGACATTTATCTGATATTTTTACGATAATATCAGCTTAAATCTCCCAGAGAAGTATTATGCATGCCTTAATTATCATTTAATTCATTATTTTTATACAGCTGTGTTTTCTACGATTCATTATTCATCTTGATCATCTATGACATGTAATGTGCAATCTATACGTTGCCCTGTTGAGAAAGACGATAAAGGTTCGTTCATTTCTAGAATGTATTGATTTGATTTTCGGGTATCTTTACTATACGCCTCTTTACTAGTCATTTCAAATGACTCTTCTTTCCCAGAACGTTTATGGTGATACCAGTTCAAAATATTGTAATCAAAATAAGTGGAATGAAAATTGCAAATGTTGTGCACATAGCACAGGAAAATAAAGTATGCCCTGTGGGAACAAGTGTTTCCGCACGGACTTGACCAGCTAAGCCAGGAAATATTGCTAAATTTGGCCTACCATTGAATAAAACATATGCTAAACCTACAGATAGAATGATGTTCCATAAAAAGAACAAGGAGTTTCCATGAGTTCCGTAATTATCAGAAAATGACAGGTTATCATTTTCTTCAAAATTTTCCAGAATTTCTTTCACAGTGTCAACAGTTGAACTCAGATTCAAATGTGGTACTGTGAGTGTCCAATTTGGATTCAAACATTCTGAAAAATTTTTGAATCGAGGGAGATTTGCTTGGATTTTTGGGTTCAATATAAATGATCTCAAATTTGACCATGCAGCTGGGATAATGTGTATTAATGAGGCGGTGGGTGAGTTAGTATCGGAACATGGGAATCTTTTTGGGATGATTTTTTCATTCTCCATTTTGAATTCACAGTTACATGGCAGTTTGATTTTTACAGCTCCCTGAGCTTCGTAAGTTTCTTCTGGAAATATGATTGTTTGTCCTCTACAACTAATTTCTGATACATTTTTCGGATGTGTTATCACATATATTTCTTCTGATATTTGAGTTATTGTTGTAGTATCTGACTTATGACAATTTGTGGGGCAATGTTGACTGATTTCCTCGACAGTGGCGCCGTAAAATAATTTCTTAGCGCACCCTGGTCCATTCTTATTATCTGCCGAAAATCTGGGTAAATAGCAAAGTTGATCATGGTAGGGCCTACAATGGTGTAAGTCCGTACCTGATATCTGTCGAATTTGACTCTCTTTTGTTAGAAAATGTTCAGAAACTGCTAAAAATATTGGGTCGTGTTGGATCATACAAGTTTGATGTGACCATGCAAATGGGGTGGTTGTAAGTTGAAACAGTTCCCATGAATGGTGATTTTGTGTAATAGGAATTCGAATGTGAATTATTAGTTTATTTGTTACAAATGTACAATCACAAAGTGGAAGTTCATATAATTTCAAGTAATTTTCAATTTTGATTGCTAAATTTTGGTCGGAAATTAATAGTTCTGATTGAAGTTTCACCAAATCATGAAAGAGAGTTTCCGGGTTGAGAATAGAAATGGGGATGTGGTGCTGTCTACATGAGTTGATTATTGTTTGAGCTTTCAATGCTCTGTTAAGCTTAATGATATGGTTCAAGTTCTTAAATTGGTTATGTATAATTGACAGCATGACATAATCCAGTTCATTTTGACGAGTCGAAATTTGTTTTGTGAAATCTGTCATTACCTTTTCAATGTTGTGAATTTTAGTTTCGGTAGTTTTGAGTGCTTCTGAAGTGCTTTCTGAGTAATTCTGAAATTTTCTAGAGTTTATTGAGAATTCTGAAAGAGATTTTGTTAAGCTTTTCTGTAAACTGTTAACCCTTTCGTGTAAATTGTGTTCGTCCATTGTCATTGTCATAAGTTTCTGTTGTGTTGCTACACCACAACACCATTCTAAGCCTGACCCTATGAAATCTAGTGATCTTTTATTTCGGTAGTATGGTTTCTCGACTGATGAAATATTTTCTAGGAAGTCAATATTCCAACTTCGTTCAACACTTTCAAATTCTTGTTCAAAAGCAATGTGTAACTGTTTTAAATGAGTCAATAGTATACACTCATTTTTGGTACTATTTTTTTTGAGGCACCCACCTTCATGTGAATCACCATTCGGATACCCAACTTCAGGCCAATTTGTTTCATAAATTAAAGGAAGTGTTGCTTCGTACGCAAGGGTACTTGGTAGTGCCTTCCAGAACGCCCCCGCCGTAACTTCCACGTTATGAGCGTGAGCAGTGTTGCTCATCATATTGAAAATTAGAAAAACCCTGAAATATTTCAACACTCATTGACTCATATTTCAACGTCAGACCTATCTAAAAATAATTATCCCTATCTCTCCTAGAAGATTTTATCAATTTAGGTTTTCATGGAATTCTCATCTAATATATAATATGTACATTTTTTGTAATGGTCAAAACATTTATATTTACACATAATTTACACGTCCTGCGGTACTACTTCAGGAGTCCATTCATCATTATAATGCAAAATACGACTAACGTGAACAATATCGGTTTTGCTTTTGTTACTTAGCCCTTTTTGAATTTCGTAGTCGACCTCGCCTACTTTTCGTATTACTTTATAAGAGCCAAACCAACGCAACAATAACTTTTCTGACCGACCAACCTTCCTTATTGGCGTGAATACCTTAACTATATCGCCCACTTCGAATTCGATGTTTCTATGTTTCTTGTCATACCTCTCTTTATCGTTACCTTGCCTTTTCCCTATATTTTGAATTGCTAGATTCCTAACTGCCAAAGCCCGTTCTCTTATAATATTAACATTGTCTGCAGTACTAGACTCCATTAGATTAGCTTGTGTTGGGAGAATTGGCTCGCGCGCATATACTAACATGAAAGGTGAAAATTTTGAAGTATTTTGAATTGACGTGTTATATGCGAAGGTAACGTGAGGAAGATATTCGTCCCAATCATTTTGTTGGGTGTTCGTATACATGGATAACATATTCGCTAAAGTTTTATTGAATCGCTCCGTTAGACCATTACATGCAGGATGATACGATGTAGTGTATTGATTTGTAGTACCCATGCAATGAAGAAGTTCTCGTACAGTTTCGGATAAGAACGTTTTTCCTCGATCGCTCAGTATATGTCTTGGTGAGCCGTGTCTGCATATTATATTTTCTAGTAAAAATTTCGCGACTGGACCAGCTTTTCCTGAGGCTAACGCTTTTGTCTCCGTCCATCGTGTTGCATAGTCTGTTGCAACTATTATGACGGTTTTTCCGCTCCTACTACGTCTGAATGGTCCCAATATGTCTACACCTACTTTTTCGAATGGTGTGCCCACTGGTATAGGCTGTAGCCACCCGACAGGTTTCTTATTCTGTGCTCCTTTTCTGGCTTGACAGTCCCTACACCCCTTCACATACTTTTCGATATCTCTTTGTAGGTTCGTCCAGTAATATCTATTTTTGATTTTATACAATGTTTTTACAATTCCGAGGTGTCCAGCGAGGGGTTCAGCATGATGAGAATAAAGAATTTCGGCTATCAGAGCTTTGGGTATAACCATTAGATTTTCTAGGCCATCCGGAGAGTTATTAACTTTATATAGAATCTTATTTATGATTCTGAAGTTCTTTGCTCTTTTTCTCAGACCGATTGGTAATGAACTATCACCTGGATTTTCAATGGCTGCTATAATTTGACTCCATTCAGGATCCTCCCGTTGTCTCTGAGCCATGTCATCTGGTAAAAATAGAAAGGTGTGAATATCTTCCATTTCTCCAAAATCTTCACTAGGTGGAAACACAGGATTTCTGGATAAACAGTCCGCATCTCCATGAGCAATTCCATTTTTATGGACAATTGTATAATCATAGATCGTAAGTTTTAATGCCCAACGAGCTAGTCTGCCGGTAGGGTCCTTTAATGATTTTATCCAGCATAGTGCATGATGATCTGTGATTATCTTAACTGGTCTTCCATAAATGAGGTGTCTGAGATATCCTAGGGCCCAAATTGCGCTCAGTGCTTCCAATTCTGTGATAGTATAATTTTTTTCGGCTTTCGTTAAGCTCCTACTTATGTACGCCACTGGATGTGGGTAGTTGTCCTCCGTTCCTTCTTGCAGAAGTATCGCCCCAATTCCTAATCTACTTGCATCTACTCTCAACTCACAACCTTTGTCTGGGTTGAAGTGCTGAAGTACTGGTGCCGATGTTAATTTATCCTTCAACGTTTCGAATGCACGCTGTTGCGGATCTTCCCACAGGAATCCTGATTTTTTCGTCGCCTCATGTAATGGTCTAGCGATTATCGCGAAATTGTTAATGAATTTGCGATAATAATTGCACAATCCAATGAAACTTTGAATATTTTTAATAGATTTTGGAGTGGGAAAATTTTTAATCGCTAACAATTTATCATTATCTGGCTCTAAACCTTTATCACTGACGACGTATCCTAACATATTTACTTTTGATTTGACATAAAAACATTTACTCGGTTTGAGGGTGAGGTTTGCCTCTCTCAATCTAATGAAAACTTTTTCTAATTTATCAAGGTGTTCTTCGAGAGTTTTAGAAAAAACGATGACATCGTCCAAGTAGATGAGGATATCATTCCATTTCATTCCTCTGAAAACTTTATCTGCGAGTTCTTGAAATGTAGCTGGAGCATTACACAAACCAAAGCTCAGTACGTTAAATTCATATTGACCATGTCCCTGAGCAACAAAAGCAGTACATGGTTTGGAATCCTCATCGACTTTGACTTGCCAGTAACCGCTGAACATATCCAGCGTAGTGAAATATTTAGCACCATGTAAATATGTTAAAATATCGTCGATGTTCGGTAAAGGATACATTGATTTTTTCGTGACACTGTTAAGCTTACGGTAGTCTACACAAAAACGTGTTTGTCCATCTTTTTTTTCAACTAGTACGACTGGACTTGCCCATGGTGAGTGACTCGGTCTAATGATTTTATTTTCTAACATCTCTGATATTTGCTGATCGATTATATTCCTCTCTTTTTGGGACACCCTGTATGGGTAGCTCTTAATTGGATGCGCGTCACCCGTATCGATTTTGTGTTCAACTAAATTAGTGAGGCCCATTTGTCTAGTCGATTTTGAAAAAACGTCTTTGTATTCATCCAATAATTTGATTATCTTAGATTTGAAATATCTGTCAGTTATATGAGATAAGTCATGATCGTCCTTTGTTACTATGTCGTCCGTTTGTTCCGTGTATAATACAATAGAATTGTTCGTGGTATTATTGTTTCTCATAAAACCCAATGTAGTATTCTTATAAACTTTCATGGTTGTGTGTCCTTTGTTGATTAAAGATACTTCTGAGCTATCATCAGGCGCTGAACATATGAATCCACATGGGACCAAGAATTCCTCATTTTCTTGAAAATGCATTGACTGCAAATTATTCGCTGTTCGTCCTTGTACGTGAACTTTTAGTTTATTTACTTTCAACGGCTCAAGGTAACAGTCTTCTACCAGTGACACTTTATACTCTGGTTCAGGTTCAATTTCAGTATTTATTTTTTCGGTTTTGCTTGTTTGATGTATCTCATTTTCGTGAATAATAGGATGGTCGAATGTTGAATCAGAACAGTGATAAGGCGCTTTACAGATCAATATATCAACTTCTTAATAATTTCATATTGTCATTTTTTTCTAATGTGTTCGAGATCGCTATTTTCTTAATATTATTCACCAACATATGTTTTCTAAGTTTTATCAGACAAGACCATAGTGCTTCAATTGAACAGTTTTCTGAAAACTCATTTTTTGAAATCAAAAAGAAGATTTTTCTGTTACTATCTTCTCTTACTATTAATCCGCCTGGTTCTAATATTTCATTCGTGTTATTTTTAATCTGGAAAAGTTTATAAAATAATGTTTCGTCAATGGTACTATTTTGTTTCAAATCGGATGAGATGAAGCAAACTAGAGCATAATCGTTTGGTAGTGTATAAATGTTTATGTCTTTTTCTTCAATGATGGAATTTGAGATCTCTGAATAATTTAAGTTATTATGATTATTCTTTATCAAAAATGTATTGAAATTTGGTTCATTGTCAGGAATTGTAATCATTGGTAAATAAGGATCTTTTTCTACTTTGCTTTCTGTTGATTTAGAATCAATTTCTATCATACTATTATTATATTTCAGCGTGGAAAGAATATTTCCTTTAGTTTCTTCATGGTAGGCATTTTTATAATTGAAGGAATTCAGATAATTTGAGTTATTTTCCAGAAGAAAATTGTTGCTGTGTTTATTCGAGATATTTGTTTGAATAATGGTATTAGATATTATTATTTCGGAGTTTTTGAAATTTATTATGACTTCATTTTCTAAGAGGAATTCCATGCCTAATAATAAAGGAACCGGCAAATTTTCTATGACTGTGGCTTTACAAATCGTTTTATAATTTCCTATAGTTAACTCAAAGCTTGCTTCACCTAGAGTTGGTACCCTATGACCTCCCGCAACTAATAATGTGTTTTCTGATCTTCTGTCTGGAATAAAATCAAACACAATATTTTTTCTGATAACATTATGTTGACTACCAGTATCGAGTACTGCCTGTATAAAAGTGTTATTTAATTTGACCGTTATTGTTAAAATATTTGGCTTATCGATGTTATGATATGCCCCAACACTAGTTAGGACGACACTGGGGCTCAATGGTGTCGCCCAGTTTCGTTTGGGTATTGATTTGCATTATTATTCTTATAACAAGATGCAGATGAATGGCCAATACGATGACATATTTGGCATTTTGGTCTTCCGTCATGGTTTCTTGTCTGCGGTATAACTTGTCTTTGATTTGTCATAGGTGCTTGTTGTTGATTTCGTGTCGAAATAGGAGGCCTTACTCTAATTTGGTTATTGTAATTATTAGACCTATATGAATTTCTTGATTGATTAAAGGTATTATGGTTGTGATTAAAATATGGCCTTGTGGAATAATTACCTCTGTATCGTGTATTTTGGTAACCCATACGGCGATTGTAATTTTGAGGTCTTGGGTATAAGTTATTGGGAGTTGGTGCAAATTGATTTTGAGTCCTATAATATCGTTCTGCTGGTATGTCAAAATTCTTCGAAGGTTCCGTATGTGGATTATTTATGTTCGTGTCTGTTTTTGAGTTGTTGCATTTACAGTTACATGTATTTTGTCCTAGATTTTGTCTTTCTGGTGAGATGGTCAAGTTATTCAAAGAAGTTACGAGATTTTCCTGCTGACTGAATATATCATCTAATGTATCAATT